AAACAAACCAATGAATGAACCAACCAACCAATGAATGAACCAACCAACAAACAAACAAACCAATGAATGAACCAATGAATGAACCAAACAACCAACAAACAAATCAATTAATGGACCATCCAACAAACAAACCAATGAATGAATCAACCAACCAACAAATGAACCATCCATCCATCCATCCAGCATCCTTTACCCGCTTCTTCATTTTTGGGTCGCAGGGATCACTGGCACCCATGTCCAGCAATCACTGTGCAAGAGGCGGGGGACACCTTGGACAGGTCTCCAGTCCATCACGAGACACATAGAAACAAACAACTATTCACTCTCTCTCTCACCCAGGGACAATTTAGAGTTACCAATCAGCCTAACATGCATGTTTTTGGTCTGTGGGAGGAAACTGGAGTACCCAAAGAAAACCCAAGCATGCACAGAGAGAACATGCAAACTCCACCCAGTAAGGTCCCCAGATGGGATTTGAACTGTCATCCTTCTTACTGAGAGGCAACAACTATACCAACAGCACCACTGTGCCACCAGTACATGAATCAACATTTATTTATTTGTTTATACTACATTGCTGTTCTGTAGCTTCATAGTTTGGCTAAATATTGTTGTCTACCATAACAAAATGTAATTCTGTAAGTGATGATGTCAGTAGTTGTAGTTTTTACCTTTTGTTTTATGTGTTGGCTCTCCAGCAGTTTGGTTGTCATTTTTTTCCACAGACTGGTTGGTACAAACTCCTGAAGAAATACACAACAACAAAAGTAGAAAAAAGCCAAAAGACATCTCATTATAGCAAACAAACTACAAACTGTGCACACACGAGGTAAAAACAACCGTTTTTAAGGCTGACAGAATGAGGTGAGGGATTAGTTTTCGTGGATATGTTTCAAAATCACGCGTAACATTTGATTGGGTTTTCATTCCAGAGGCATCTTGTTGCATTTCAAGAGACAACATAATGTTTTCCATTCATCCTTATTTAGACATTTAAGCTAAATTTTGCTAATCTGCTTATTTAAGTTCAATTAACCAACCCTGGAAACTCTCAGCCTCATTTTAAGTTATGCTGCAGTTTATTTTAGCTTTAGCAACAACTGTATGGAACATTTGTTCCCATCTTAAAGTGTATGGTTGTACCCTGGATTTGCCTCGTTGCTGGTAATACATTTTACGTCACTAGTAGCACATCTTTAAAGGTTTTCAGTGTTAGGATGGTGAGTAATTTACAGACACAACAATACTCTGAAGAGCCTTAACAGACCTTTCCTCTGCGGCTTCAGGTTGCGGTGGATCGGAGGGGGGACGGCTTCAGCTTCACCTCCACTGGTAATCACAGTACTCCTCTGGGGTGGTGGGGTCAAGGGAATAACTGGAGTCTTCAAGGAATTACGGAAACCCATGTGGGCTGGTGGAGGTACTTGCCTCCCCAGAAATGCCAGGTCACCTATAGCAGGATTGGGATGAGCAGGAAGGGAAGAAGTCAAAGGAGTCATGGGGACGTAGTTGGGGTCTTGTAGCTGGGCAGGGGGGTCTGAAGGGGCACCAGGATGTACCCTGGAATTAGAGAAGAAAATACATCATCCAAAAGTTGTTGAGTAATAAAATATCCATCAAGTATGGATCAGTGGTGCGCTAGAATGACTAGATGCTTACGCTAGAATCCAAGGGTCCCATTGACCGTTGTTTCGCAGAATGGTTAAAATATCACCCAATATAACAAGAAACTCCCTCTTGAAGCCTTAATGCTTTCATTTGTTGCCGATTCTTTTTATGTGAACAGGTGTTGTCCTTCCCGAGTTTAAATATAACATTAACATAGCTTGACACTAAACACGCAATGCCTTAAAGAAAAGACCAGCCTTGACACCAACTGTAAAAGATCAGAATAATATCAATCTAGACATATCAATGCTAGAAAGTATTTTAAACAAGAGGGACATACATTTGGGAGTTTAGAGCCCAACCACTTCATCATCCCCTTACAATAAGAAGAAAGGTTTCTCTTGAGCTTTAGTATGAACACAAAATACGCATCATAGAAAAATGGTTTAGGCAAAGGACTAAATGAGATCCAGCCTATTTAGCCTGTCTTAAAGGAATTTAATTGGCAGAAAAAAAATGACGGCTTTGTGAAGCTAACAGCTACGTTTCACCTTTTGCTTTTGTTCAGCCAAAGACTGTCTTTGTCACTGCATGACCGTATCTCTGCAACGTATCCTTGTTGACATCTCCACAGCTAATGGGGAACTTAAAAGTTTCCTTTAGGCTCCATATAAGCACAGTCCATTTACCATTCCTTGACTGCTTGAAATACTTAAACAACCCGCATACCAGTAACAGTACTGCATACTGTTACTGCAGATTCAGTGTGATATTTAGTGGCTCTTTAATTTTTTTTAACAATCCATGAACCTGAATTTTAGAGCATCAACTTAGATACAAGAATACGTAAAGATTAATCAGTGTATTTCAAAACACGATCTTTCCATTAGAGATTATCTTTTTATTTCTGACAGTTTGTTTTTAATTATGTGTTTTAACTCTGACTTACCTTGGTGCAACCGGGGGCTCGGTGGTAGCGGCGCTCATGAGAACATAATTTTCAGTCACGTTGTCGTCTTCAGAACCAACGGTGCCCAGAGGTACCATACCTTTATTGAGCTGCGAAGAGAAGCAGGAGATGAAGTGCTAAAAATGTTCTAATTTGTTGTTTTACTGATCGTGTTGTTTTAACTCACAAAGTAATTGTTGAAGCTCTCGCTGAACTCAAACATGCTCGCTCTGTCGGACTGAGACCGAGGAAAATAAAATGCTTCACAACCTGAAACAGACATAAACCAACGGATTCATTCAACATTTTGATGTCTCGTCCAACTTTCAGAAAAAGTTGTCAGAATGAGATATTAGAGAAGAAAATGAGAAGAAATAAAACCAATTTTACATGTTTGTACAGTTTTTAGATGCTTGAGAGAAGCGGAGCGTGCTCTATTCACACAAGGAGAGCTGTTGGTCAGGCTACTTCTTGTTGCTCTCTAAAATAGTTATTGAATCAAGTGTTTACATATGTTGTTAAACATAGATGTTTAACACCCCGTTAAAATACACCTGAATGAAGAAAACTGCATTTACTTTATTCAAAATTTTCAGTTGGAGGACCCCCAGACCCCCCACCAATGCGTCCCCCCCACTTTACAAATGTTTCTGACGTCAATGAACTGGAGTCAAGAGCCACTGTGAGCACTGGGGGCTAAGCACCCTTAAAGGTCAGATTCTAGAATAGTCCCTGGTTAAAAGATTATGTATTCTGGCAGGAAAACACCAACTGAAGGGCGTAGTTCTCTTTTCTGTGAAGGAGTTTAAAGGGAATTAAATTACAAAGAAACAGTGCAAATTGTTTTATTAATCCACCTAAAGTCTTTAAAACCTTTAAACAGCAGTGCTCTGATTTTGAGCAAGGGGCGTAAGATTAAACGGCTGTGCAAGTGAAAATTCAGTCACTAAAATAATTTAAGAAATTATTACGTTTTGTACATTTACTGAGTTAGATATAATACAACAAAAGTTGCCGTTCTGCTACCAATTTACTATATTTTTGAAAGCACTCTATGTACAAAATAAAAGTTAAAAACATGTATTGAAGTTTGCAGTGACAAGAAAAATGACTGTTCAATATTTTGAAGCACATTTTTCAACCACTAGAATTTTTTCTTCTTCTTTTGGCTGCTCCCTTCTTCAGGGGTCGCCACAGCCAACTGACTCACACGACGATTTGACAGTTATTTTTATTCTGGATGTCCTTCCTGATGCAACCACAGACCACCGAGCTACCACAGTCCTCTGTGTGGAGCAGAGAGCTGCCATCTAGGGTGCCTGGGGGAGTAGGTGTGAGTTAAGGGCCTTGCTCAAGGGCTCAGGGTGGAGCAGAAGAGTGGAGGCAGGTGTGCATGCTTCACCCTTCCCACCAACATTTTGATGTTTGTTAGCCTAGCTTAATGGAGAGACTGGAAAATGTCACAAATCGCTCGCAGCATCAGTAAATAAATCTGATGAACACCAGAGGAGACTGATCATTATTAGTGTAATACATTCAAAAACTAAAATCTAACATTGTGTATATCTGTGTGTAAATCCTTATCTGGTCCGATGGTCCGTACACAAAATACAACCCTCGAACCATTCTTTTCTGGGCCTTAATATTGTTAAATAAAACCACAGTACCTTTAAAATAATAATAATAATAATAATAATGAAATTATAATAATTTGGGGTGTGGTGGGGGGGAGGACAGAAAGCAGCCTTTAGGCAGCGATGTCCATCCTGGGCCTCGAGACGTTTTACCCTGTATGTCTGAAAAGTTTCTCTGCCTCTACATAAATGTTAAAGATGTTCTGAACTGTGTTTTGTGTCATTTATTTAGTTTTTTGTTTAACTTGTGTTTAAGCTTCCTCAGTGTTTTTCCTTCTGCCCTTGCCCCTCCCACTCACCTGTCCCTCTCGTCTTCCCCAGGTGTTGTATTTGTCATTCGTTAGTGTTCTTTAAATTCTCCGTCCTTCTGTCACTTCCTGTTCTGTGCGACGTGCTTGTACGCTGTTTCCCCTCCAGCCCCGTGGTTTTGGTTGTGTATATTTTTCTGCCTCGTCATCTTTTTATTTTCTGACTGGATAAATTAGTTTCATTATGTCTTTTCTTGGGAGTCCTCCTGGAGTTGTTAATTCTGCACTTTTAGTTCCCTATTAATACCAAACATGATAGAAGAGATTTTTCAAAACCTGCATTAGATGTTTTTAACAGAAACCTTCTAAAACTTGGACCAGGACTTGGAACCACTGTTTTTCAAGCGAAGATCTTTATTGTCAAAATCCAAACCTTTTGATTTAAAATAATTCACAAATTAGATTTGCCAGGATTGTACATTCAGTGTATGTGCGGACAGAACAAGATTAATAGGTGAATGCTTCAAAAAATGAGAACAGTTCACTTGAAATGTTCCATTTTTAAGCATAAACTGACAATCAAAGCATCGCAGACACAAAAATGTTCATCTAACCTGAGACCCAGCAGAGCTGAGAGCATCGTCACCCACAGCATGAGGTGTTTATAATAGGTTCTTCCCTGCCACAGTCGGACTGAAGGCCAAACAAAACTACTGAATCAGGTGCAATAATAACCTAAACTACCTAATGCCACTGGTCATGTGACATGGTTTACTGTCTGTACAGTGTAGATAGAAATTTTGTTCTTATTTTTATTTTATTTAGTGCTGTTTCAGCATTTTATGAGCTCTGCACAAGAATTCCAGTTTGTCTGGATTGTTGGTCTGTGCACAAATGGCAAATAAATATGTTTGTACCTTTGGATGTCCTACAGGTAAAAGCAACGTTACCTTTTATCAGATGTCCTCTGATTGTGCATCCGTCCCTCCTCTCTGACTCTGAGTTGGTTCTGGGTAGCGTAGCAGGTCCCACACCATCAGAGGAGCCACCTCCAACGGGTGTAATAGCTGGGGGCTTGGGTGGCCGAGGAGGAGGAGGAAAAGTTGGGAGGGAAGCGTGGATCTCTTCCTGGGTTAAGGAGTCCACACTGGGAGTAGAAGATGGACGCAGAGGCGGTTGAGGTGTAGATGCAGGACGAGGAACTTGGTAACTGCTCACAGTGGCTGATCGATGCACACCAGAGTGTATGTCCGCACCGGCCAAAGGACGGAGGTGGAAATCTAGAGAGTGCTTTCTAGGATGGAGAGAAGGGTGGCAGTGAGGTCTGGCTCGTTTCAGGAAGTCGGAGGTCATCGTGGCATCCAGCGACTGGCTGAGAGGGCTTGATAGCACAGCGACGCTCCAAGGGGCTGTCCTATAGCTGGACGAGGACGGAGGTGGGAGGCTGTTGGGAGGAAGAGAAGGAGAGGAAGACGAGGATGAGGAACATGATGTGGCTGAAGGTGGGGGGCACAGGTTGTCGTTGTAGTCGGTTTCGAGAGAAGTCGTTGAACCCAAAGGAGGCCTGAAAACGAGATACAAAAATAAAAGTTACAAAAATATTAAAATGGATGGTTCAACTGTAAGCATCTTAAAAATAATGTTTCTTTTTGCATTCAGGCACAAAATCAACTTTGATCAAAGTCCATTCTTACTTCAACACTGCAGTAATTCTTTTTGACCATCATTATTCTCAGTTTCTTTTAATATTTTCATATAACTTCTGGAGGAATCCAAATCCTTTCTCCTGAGGGTGGAGATAAACCTGTTAATGTTTTTATGAGCCACTTTATTTTTGTTAAAGTCGTCTTTTCAGAAACGTGTAGGCGTGTCCTGAGTTGAATCCTCCTTTGAACCAACATGTAGGAACCTGACACTCGTGGTTGTTTACTCTCTGATAATAATCTTGTTCTTGTTTAAACATACGTGTTTCCTAAGAATAAACTAACAATTCATCTTTAACAAAACTCGACTCGCAAAAAATATGTTTCCTAATCTTTTGACTAGTATTGGCATGTTAGCTTTATTGGGGATTATACGAGGCTTAATTTAAAACATAGGTGTTTTATTTATTTATTTATTTATTGCTTTTAAACATACAACAGCTTTGTGATCCAGTACTAAAATTGTAAAGTTACTAAAATACGGAGTCTTTAAAGCAGATTTTTATATAAATAGGAACAAACGTTAAAAATAAGTCAACTGGGACAGTTTGTTTCCAAGTTATATTTAAATGGAGAATTAAAATACAGTACAGGAACAAAAAATATGTTTTTATTTATTTATGCACTTATTTCAATGGAGTATCACTATGTGTGTTTTGTTTGTTTGTTTGTTTGTTGATTTACCCGATGTAACTCTGGCAGTTTGATAACCACAGGTAGTCGTCCTCGGTGCTGCTTTCGTGTTCCAGGTGATGCACGCCCACTGGTTCGTACGGGGGCGGGACTGACCCTGTTACCATGGAGACAGCGGGGGCGCCACTGGTCACAGATGTGGAGGAAGAACTGGAGCTTACAATTCTTTCTGGAACTGTAAAAACAAAGATCATTATTGAAAGAATATCTATTATTTATATATTTGATCATCTTAAAAATCTTTCTGTTCATGATTTAATGCAACAGAACTTTTATTTTATTTATTTTTTATTCATCTATCCATCCATCGTTTTTTTATTTTACTAACTTTTTCATTTCTGGGTCATGGGGAGCTGGTGCCAACCTCCAGCAGTTACTGAGCATGAGGTAGGAGACACCCTGGACAGGTCTCCAGTCCATCACAGGGACACCCTGGACAGGTCTCCAGTCCATCACAGAGACACCTAAACAGGTCTCCAGTCCATCACAGGGACACCCTGGACAGGTCTCCAGCCCATCAGAGGGACACCCTGGACAGATCTCCAGTTTATCACAGGGACACCCTGGACAGGTCTCCAGTCCATCACAGAGACACCTAAACAGGTCTCCAGTCCATCACAGGGACACCCTGGACAGGTCTCCAGTCCATCACAGAGACACCTAAACAGGTCTCCAGTCCATCACAGGGACATCTGGACATGTCTCCTGTCCATCATGGACATATAGCTAACATGTATGATTTAGATCTGTTCAACAAAACTAGTACCCAGGAAAAATTCACGTGCATGGAGAGAACATGCACATTTCACACAGAAAGGAATGGAGGTGAACCTGCAACCATCTCGCTTGAGGACACAGATCTAACCACTGAGTCCCACGCCTCTGATTTTTAAAAGTGTAAATGTGGGAGGCTGCCAAGGTGGGCTGAATGCCAGGCAGAGCAGGAATGATGTGGGTGGATGTGGGAAACAAAACAAACCAGAACAGTTTTGCACGCGGCGTGCACAACAATAGGCCGTGGTTTCAAAACCTGGCAACTCAGTTGGCTGCACTGGTCTTTTGGTTGGAAACCATTATAACATAGTGAGCCGGCAATGAAAAATGTGCCAATCTTCTTGTAACTTTTTTGAGACATTAAACCATCTCCAACGGTTGCATTGTGCTTTGTGAGATGCTAACTTTAGTGTAAGTTCCATCTCCTTTATTATTATAATTTTGTTTTCTTAACATTTATGTAATATATACATATATATACTTGATCCCAGGTTCAAGGACTTAAAATGCCTGCCTAAATCTGAGAGAAGAGAAGTGTGAAGTTCTTTAAACAACTTGCTCAGAGGGTAGAAATGCCCAGATCCAAGGTGCTCAAACAACAGGGGAAGCACCACTAAAGAAGAGGAAGATGTCCGTCTTCTTGCTTGCATTATCTGATTCAGACACAGACAATGAGGCAGACCATTCAATCTACACTGGACCGCTACAAATCAGAATCCAAAACTGACATGGATGAGTGCCCACTGCAGTGGTGGTCAAAAAGAAGAGACTCATACCCCGGACTAGCACAAATTGCCCGCAAAAATCTCTCCACACCTGCCACCACTGTACCTGTGAAAGACTGTTCTCCCTCTCAGGCCACATTGTTCAGAAAAAGAGAGCTGCTCTCTCTTCAAGTAATGTAGAGGGACTGGTTTGCCTTAGTAGCTGGTTAAATGAAGAGTAGATCTGGTACATGTGGTTTAAAAACAAAGCAGAAATGTTCTGTGAGGTTCTAAATTGCAGTTCACACTAATTCATACTGTTCATCAAAACAGTAAATGTTTTGAACCACAAAATGAATGTTTGCAATGCACTTTAGTTATGTGCTGCAGTTTCTTTGCAAATTTTATTTCAAAGCGTTGTCAAAGTAAAAACAAAAAAATTAAAGTAAATGACGTAATTGATGAATGAATTCATCTTTATTATAAGTTGCCTTGAAAAGTGTTTAATTGCGATTAATTTTGAAACAGATTTGCGATTAATAAGTTAATTTTTATTAATCGATCAACAGCCCTAATATCTATATCTATCTATCTATCTATCTATCTATCTATCTATCTAT